TCCTTAATTTTGGAATTTTACCGACACCCAGTTGCGAATTGAGGTTGGCCGATCACCAATGACTCCTCGTTTCTGCAACAGGACTCCCTATCCCAACCGCCACCAGTCGGATCTACCTTCTCGGATCAGAGTTATTGAGCATGTCCGGTCTGATGGTTTATGCTCGTGTACCTCATTTTCAAGTCCGAGACTAATCAGCCAGCCGACACCGGACCGAAGAGAGAAAAAGAAGCGGAGGGAGAGAGCCGGGGTGAAAAGAGAGAGGTCGAGGGTAATTGCAGCAGAGCTACGAGAGGGGTAGGCATAATGACAGAACTCTTATTCCGAATATTTTTGGACTTCGTTGAAGTGAGGATGCAACTTCATCGAATTCGAGTTCAGTAACAGATGGGGCAGGAGGAGAAGCATTGCAAATAACTGGATGCTTGGGAATAGGAGGGGAGGGACGACGAGAAGGGCGAGGAGGTGAACGAACACAACGTACAGTGGATGCTTCCTTTCAGCGGGCAGCTGCTGAAGGCGCTCGTACTCGGCCGGGAGATCCGTGAGGGATACAACTGCTTTCTATGCGAAGAGATATCAAGCACGTCGAGCAACTCGACAGCGAAAGAGACGCGCATCGAGTTGCATCACACACGCTACTTGCATTGAAAGAGACGGGCATCGAGTTCCGTTTCACTTCGAGAAATGCCGACGTCCTTGTCGTTGTCGCAGCCGTCCTCTTAGGTCAATAGGGAAGACACCACGGGTTGTGACTACAAAACAGCGGCGTCAAAAGGCGCCCAGGACTCCGGCGCGACCAGGACTCCGGCGGAGCTCTACAGATGAGCAAAATGATTACCAAACTTCCACGACATCCTAGAAAGATACAGAGTGATAGTTTTTGTCGTTAATGCATTTCGCGAGTGGTGAGGGGAGGCCGCACTACGGCCCACGACATTCCTTCCGCTACTTCCCCTCCTCGTCACAAGGACACCAGTCTTCACCCGAATAGAACGCCAGTAATCCTCGCTGTGTCTGAACTGGTCGTCGCACCGCCTACGCAATAATGACCAGGCGTTCTGTTCGGGTGCAGCTACAATGACCACCATGTGTTCTGTGCAGGTGAGGAAGGTTGACACATGCACCAACTCGCGACATCGCCGAGCGTTATCCACTCCATCGACAAGCCGCAGACAGGAGATCGATGAAAAACATTCCCCTACGAACGATACGGCACATACGACAAATTTTCACAGGACTTTTGAGCAGCGGCGCATGAGAGTTCGGCATGCTTTAGCCAAGAGCAAGATAGGATTCAATCACATCATGCATTGCACTGCAAAAGAGTCGAAATTCAAAGAACCCACAAAACTTACG